ACACACACACACACACACACACACACACACACACACACACACACACAAACATACACACAATTATGTGAACTCAAAACCTGAAAAAGAAATCCCCCCTAGATTTGGACTCAAGGATCTAAAAAGCAAGAATTCTCTTTCTTCCCTAGGGAACTCGAGGAATTAATTCTGTGGGTGCTCCTTTCCCCATCACCCTCTTCTTCTCAACCCCAACCATGAACATGTGCCAGGGGTTGGAGGTACTGTTTAAAATGTATTCCTCGGCATAAGATACAGCCTCCAGCTGTGCAGTAAGGGAGCTTGAACAGCAAGCCAGGATCTCAGCTTTATCAAGAAGCTGAGATCTCAGAAGGGCATAATCCTCTCTGGCTATTTGGCTATTGGTAGCAATAACCAAAAACCTTTGGCTTGTTGACTCAAGAAAGTAGTCAAGAAGCACACACAAAAAAATTAACTGCTTCAGCTTGGGGGAAAAGTGGGGAGAAGAGCTGATATTTACATCTGATCAAAAATTAAAATCAGTACTTGGTAATGAATGTCTAAGGGTAAGAGCCATTGAACAGAATTAGTATGAAAGTCTGCAAGATTACTCTATGCTCCTAGATGGATGATATAGTGTTATCATGTTCATAGATGGATGATAGAGCAATCTAAAAAAAGACTGTAAAATAAGTATACTTAAATAATTAGAGGAATAAAGGAAGAAATACAGTTGACCCTTGAACAACATGGGTTTGAATTCTGTGGGTCTACTTGTATGCAGATTTTCTTGCTCTTCTGCCACTCCTGAGACAGCAAGACCAACCTCTCTTCTTTCTCTTCCTCAGCCTACTCAACATGAAGATGACGACGATGAAAACCTTTATGATGATCCACTTTCACTTAATGAATCGTAAGCATATTTTCTCTTTCTTATGATTTTCTTAATAACATTTGCTTTTCTCTAGTGTATTTTATTATAAGAAGCAGTGTATAGTACATATACCTTACAAAATATGTGTTAAAATGCTGTATCATTGATAAGGCTTTTCTCCTGGTCAACAGTAGGCTTGAAGTAGTTCAGTTTCTGAGGAGTCAAAAGTTATACACACATTTTCAACTGCTTGGCGGTTGGCATCCCTAATCCCCCTTCATTGTTCAAGGATCAGCTATATAAAGCATAGTATAAACAACGAAGCAGATTTAAAAAAGCACTAACCTTTTAGAAATGTGAATTACAGTGAATAAAATGAACAATTTAAACAAATGATAAAGAATTGATAATGTGCATAGTAAATCTGAGTAAATCTCCCAAGCACATCATATAAAATATTTAAAAAGATCAAAGGAAGATTAAGAAATATGAACAATAGTATAAATTATGTTTAACTCATTTCTATTTATTGTCTTGTTTATTTTATTTATATTATCTTGCTTAAACTTGCTCTTAAAAGTAGACACATATCACCCTGCTAGGGTTTTGTTTCTTTTCTCTCTCTGTCATATAAGTTTTTACTTTTGAAAATTTTTTGCTTTTATATTATTTATGCTTAATATCAATTTTTTAAAAATAAAAATTATACTTGCTTGTTCTCAAAATCTGGAATCTTATTAAGTCAGTGTATTAATTTTATCTACTTATTTTGTTAAAAACAGGTGAGTAGTCCATTCTGTGAGCCCTTCTATTTAAAAACAAAACAAAAACAAAATGACGTGTTTGGAGGATGAAAACCCTAATTTCTCAATCTTGCTCTTTGAGAACTTGAGAACTTTGAAGTTTTTGGTTCATTTTTTTTTTTTTTCCTGATATTAGTGCTGCAAGGAATGCCACTGACAGTAGACTGATTCCATTGCTTTTTTACATAATCTGTTTCTGGTGAATGGATGCTTATGGAATTATGTTTTATTTAAACCTACATTTCAGTTTGTCATGGTATGTCATGGGTGTTTTTCTTAAATATTTCCTAATAACCAATCAGCATGTTTAACTCGAGGCTTTAATCAACATCAAAACATCAAATTCACTGACACCTTTCAGTGCTGCTTTTTTTGTGATTGCTTAGCCTCTTTTTCAATGGTACCTATCAATATTAGGTTGCAGCACTTTGAAATGACTCCTTATCATATTTTGGTCCCTTTTCATCTCAGCTTATTATATTTATATCACATCCTTTTGTCTTTTCATCCTTTCTTTGTCTGTTTTGATGACTTTCTGCTAGTGTTTCTTGGCAATTATGCTTATTGGCCACAACTAAACTTATAAAATAGGTTTCTTTAATATTCACCAGGTAACTGTAATTCTCATTATTCGAATCACTGTGAAACATCAAAATGATGCTCTCTTCCTTTGTATTTCTACACGTTTGCTTTTTATTGTTGTTTTTGATATTCTTTAGAAATCTTGATATTGATATGTTTTTCCTAAACACCGTGTAGCACTTTGCTTTTCTTCTTACCCTTGAATGAATGCTCATCTACCATTTTTAGTTTGGTAGCTATTCAAATTTCTTTCTTGAATATAGAGACAATATCCCTTTGCATAATATCTGATTCAGTTGTCAGCATCTAGCCATTTTTACTGAGAATAATTCCTCTGGACTACCTGTGCTGACAGAATTTCCAGTGCTTAGAATAGATTGAAGGTTTGAAAATGTGCCACGCCCAGCATGCATTTCTGCTAGTGTTCTTATAGTCTCCATCTTTATCTTTATGCTTGTGGGATTTTTTGGGTCCATAACAGCTATAATTACTACCTTTTGTGGATCCACAATATTTTATTTCCAGTTTCAAGATATTTCATAATATTTTAATACATAGTTTAAATACAAAACATTTGACTGAAAGTTTTAATTATCTAAACTTCTTTGTTTGACATGAAGCCAGTTCACAATATTGGAAACTTACTCACCGGTTGAAATATGAAGGTGTAATCCTACTAGTTGTGGCACTCGCTGTTCTTTTATGATCTATCTCAGGCCCAAGATTGTTTTTACCAAGATATGGAGAACAAGGTAAAAATACAGTGACTGGCTTCTGAAAAGCATAAGTTGATGGGTGCTGAATGTGAATCAGAGGGCTTGTGGATAGTACTGAGTAGAAAGTGTCTTGCTGTGCTTTTAAATGTGCCACCAGAGCTGGGTCAACTGGTTGGATCTAAACAAAAAATATATATTTTTCTTATATTGTAATAGAAAAGAGGCAAACTATTGGTACATTTCTAAACCAGTTTTTAAAAAATCCTACAGAGCACAGTTTTATACATTTCTCTATACACTGCTGGCTGTAATCAACACTGCATTTTATAAAATATTTATAATGTATAAAAGGACACAGTATTTGGGCCCTTTTAACGAAGTCTTTCTGAAATCTGGGTTCCCTGTCTAATGTTATAAATAGCTAAGAAACACACTTAATTGCAGGCAACAAAATGACCTAGAAAACAAAATAGATGTTTTATAATAATTTCTAATTAGAACTTCTGTTAGGTCAAGTGATCTTTAGAAACTGGAAAAACATGACTATATTTACTTGTTTCCTTTCACATAAGAATGGTTAAAAATAAAAAATAGCTAAAATGATTCCAAAATTTCAATGTTCATGGAAAATATCTATAAATAAGATATTTATTATATGTTTTCTTCCTAATCGTTCTTCTTTAGTTACCACTACTATTAACCACTGGGGGAACCAGAGAGGAGAGTGTGGGAGGGGAAAGAGGCTATATGGACAGGGAATATTATCTGAGGAAATAAGTCTTATAAAATATACATTGACATGCCATTTGCAAATAGTGTTTTCATATATTAAATCCTTATTCCCACAAAAGGGATGTTCATAATTAAATATAACCAAATATTTATAATAATAAAATTTTAATTGATTATCTACTTTTTTTGCCATCCTCTCTGATCAAAATCTTTGAGTTATAAATGAATTTTCCAAAGTCTGTAATCAATTCTTTCATAGCTATGCAACATAAATTTTCCCAATAGTAAACAAAACAACACAAAAGACTAACTGGGAAAAACTTCCTATTAAAAAGATGATTTTTTTTTTTAATGAGATTTAACATGCTCAACATCATTACATTATCGCTGATATCACTATATATTAGGCCATTACAACTATAAGAAAATAATCCATGTATTGTTATATTAAATATTCTTACCTTCTTTGTTCTTTAGAACCATGCGTGGTGACCCACAAAATCTATGAGCGAGAGCTCACCAATGTTTAATATGTTTACCTTTAACTGCACAAGTACTGGAGAGGTAAAAACTCCTGGAGGGTAATTTAAGGATATTCGGGAATCCATGCTTGACTTAAGTGTGAGGCCTTTCTTTGTTACTGTGAATGACTCTTTCTTTAAACAAGACACAACGGAAAAGATACCCAATTTGTAAACTTTAACTGCAGCACAGGTCCCCTGTATAGAATAAAGAACATTAAAACAAGCTATAGCACTGATTTGAAAAATAATTGCTGTTTAGACTCTATGGATTGTCAAAAAAATCTATACACTCTTGATGTAATCACCTACAATTTGAAATGATTCCATTAACTTAAAATAGAAAGTCATTTTATGAGATAACGTAGAAATAGATAAGAGTTTCTTGAATTTAGACTACACAATGAAATACAGAAATCAACGTATTTCTTTAAATTTTTCTTCAAAATTGTGTGTATAATGGGCAATTATTTTCAGTGTTTTCACAAATATTATTATTTCTAGAATTCTAGCCTCCATTAGTGAGAATGGATTTTAAATACTGACCTTTATCCAAAACATTCCATGTACTGTTTTAGGGAATTCCAAGGACTGGAATTTCATTATTTGGGTAGTTTGCTCAAATGCTATAACACCTGTACTGTCAGCAAATTCTTTCTTCAAATAGCTCACAATATCTTAGGTTCCCCAATTAAGTCATCTTCTCTACGTCTGTCTTCTGTGCAGTGGGAGCAAATGACGAAGACATTTGTGTTTCTTCTTTATATAGTGACATTCAAATTTGTAATGCATATATACAGACACATACTCAAGCTTTTATATTGCACAAAAGGGAACTGCATTACATAAATGAAAACAAAATGATCTTTTCCTATAATCACCAAAACTTAAAATGAGGAGGCAGATTGAGAAGTGATTTGGTCTATTCATACTTCCCCAAACAACAGCCAGGCTCTGCCCCAGCATGAATGGATAATCATGCTCACACACAAAAAAACATCTCGGGACAATCACAGTGGAAAATAGTCTACCATTTGAAAGCTGACTAAGGCAGAGATTTCACAATATCACTGAATGAATCTGCCTCTGGGAAAATTCAGGGCATGATGAACATTGTTAACTGGCCAGAGGGAAAATTGTGAGAGGTGAAAAAGAAAGATCTTCTAGAAACCAACGGTGGTTGCTGTGCACTTAGATTGCATTTGATAGATACTGAAAACCCAAAAGGGTTTTAATAATTAGAATTTAAAAATGTCATACAATCCACATAAAAATTTGGAAGTAATCCAGAATGTAAATTTTTTTTCTTACTATAAAGAGAAAAGTTTATGCCTATATTTGTTATGATAGACAATGATTCTCTCTCTCTCTTTCTATTCCTCTCTCTCTCTTTTTGCTTCAATTATCCATTTACTAAACATCCCCCAAACTCATTTTGTGACAAGTGGGCTATATATAGTTTTTGGTTTTATTATGATAGTTACAAAAGCTGGCCAAAATGTAAGAGCCCCAATCAAGGGCAATGCTGACTAGACTATCATACCTATAAACTTCTGAGACTAAATATAAAATGTATTAGTGTCAGGAATTGGAATAAGTCAATGGAATAGGCTTAGCTTTCATATTCAACTATATATAACCTTGCTTGAAACCCAGAAAAATCAAAATCAGAAAATAAATATGTAATAAATAATTCTATGTATATATGGATTTTTTACATTTATTATCTGCCCTCCTCATCAAATGACAACTTACATAAAGCTGAAAAAGATAAATATTTTAATTGCTTAAAAAGAAGTTCAGTGGCCCAAAGAAAAACTTTAAATATTAGTCTCCATGAACTCCATACTAAACTTAATAGTTGTTATGTTATCTCTTCACAGCATATGAATTTGTGATCATACAGAGCCTCCGAGTTGTTACAATTAAAATCTGACAAGAAAATGATAATTTATTAACAACAAACCTGTGTTTATAAGCTTCCTTCTATCTTCATAAGCATATTATCTATTTAATCCTTACAACCATACCAGGTAGACACTATTATCATGTTCATTTTTGAGATTAAGTAATTGAGTCACAGCAAGGTTAACATAATTTTCCCAAGTTCACACAGCATGAAAGTGTAGAACCGTATTTCCAACCTGACCAATATTCTCCTACAGCCCACTTCTTAACCACCACATATACTTTCTTCCATGTATAGACCAAGTTTCATTTATAGACTTACTAACAATCTCAAGGCATACACACAAATACACAAATTTTTAAATTTTTTATAGGTTTTCTCAACCCAAGAATGATAAAAAATAGAGCTATTATCATCTGGGTATTCAAACATTCTTAAATTTAGACAAGGGTCCATCATATTAGAAATGTTGGTCTGAAGTTAGCCTAAAGCACAAAAGTAATTAAGCCGTGATATTGGTTTCATTTCCCAGGTGAAAAAAAAATAACATTTGGTAGGTGCTAGACGCAAGCTCTCCATTCTTAACTTTGGCTAATCATTTCTGTCCTTTGATCTTTATGGATGGCAATAAATTGTGAATGCCTTGGCACAAATCCATACATCCTTTCATTTATTACTAGTGAAGCAATTATATCTACACTACAATCTATTAGTCTGAGTAATATTTAGAAGACGAGCCAAATAGCAAATATAGATACAGCCAAGAATTCACTAACCTTATAACCTCCCTTTATTCCTTCCAGTGAATTTGGGTTTAGATAACTTGATTGAAGGTTTAAGTCACATACCTTCACCATGATATCTCTGTAATTTCCTCTGTAACGTGCAGTGAATGGAATTGCAATGCCTATTGGGAATGGAATTCTCTTTTCCTTATCTAAGCATTCAACATTTATGACATTACTAACTAACTCTTCATTATCACCCACTATTAAAGAACTCATGTTATTTATTATCCGGCATTCTAGTTGTTGTAGAACGTATGATGGTGCTGTGATATAACAAGACACTTGGGGGTCAGCGTCATCACTTGGCACATCCAGATACCTGGAGGGGAAAAAGAATGTCATTTTTCCAATTTGATTTGTGTACTCTACAGCTAAATGCAGAAACGCACAGACTAAATCTACACTGTCTTAGTGTGAATTCCAATTCTCCCACTGATCAACTCTGTGACCCTGGATGAGATACTCAGCCTCTCTATGTCTCAGTTTCCTCAATGGTAAAATGGTGACAACATAATACCTATCTCATGGGAGTGGGAATTAAATGAATGATTACATGTTAAGTAATTAGAGCTATGTCTGGTACACTATAGGTGTTATATATGTTAGCTATAATTACTTTTGTTACTATTGTTATTTAAGCAATTGATTCATTCCACAATAAGAAGCTGAAGTTAGCTAAAGTTTTTTGGCAAAACAACTGCTAACACCTGAATAGTTTCCTCAACTGTGAGCAGAGGGAGTAAACATACATGAAGTGTTGGAATTGTCTAAACAAACTAGATCAAATGATGATGATTATATGCTTTTAGAAAAGCTGAGGAAGATACAAAAGAACTGTGAATTTATCATTAATCATAGTAATTAGGAAAAGGTTACTTATAATCCCCCCAAAATCAATCCAAAATCTTATTTTGATCATTCATTCTACTCTTTTTTTAACCATCAATTTTGCCAAGGATTTTAGAGTCATAGATTTGAATTCAAATTTGAGATCACTCACTATTTACTTGACCTTACACATTAATAATTATTATTAAAATAGCTAATATTTTGAACCTTTCTGTTAAGTAGTTTTTAGGCTATGCATTATTCTTGCAACTATTGTATTTGTCATGTGCTACTAACATAACTATGTTACAGATAAAAAAATGGAGCCTTAGAAAATTTAACTTTTTAAAAGATCCCACAGATGGTAAGTTTTGGAACAGATAATTGGCTCCATCTATCTTTAATATGAAAGTCCAGACTCTTAAATATAATATCTTAATTCCACAAATCATTCAAAAGTGCTGGCTACTTTATTCATTGCAAATTGAAACTAATATCTAATTCACAATAGTATGAAGACTGAATGAGATAAAACATTTAGACTTATAATAATGTGTTGAACTAAGATGTGAGCCCAATAAATGCTGGATTTCTACATTAAAATTACCAAATTGACTTCCTCCTTTTTTTTGTACTTTTGTGTTCTGGGGTACATGTGCAGATGTGCGGATCATGCATGGTTGTTGTATAGGTACTTACAGGGCAAGGTGGTTTGCTACCTCCATCCCCTCATCACCTATATCTGGCATTTCTCCCCATGTTATCCCTCCCTACTGTACCCACCCCTTGCTGTCCCTCCTCTAGCCCCCCACCAATAGACCCCAGTGTGTGATGCTCCCCTGCCTGAGTTCCTCCTTTTTTTATTACTTCTCATGTATACTAGTGAAATGACTGAATACAGGCAATGTTAAAAAGAAATAAGAGGATCTATATATAACAAAGCATTAATGTCCAACTCTAGAATAATGAGATTTTAGATATTTTTCAATCAAGGTTAGAAGGAATAGAAAATGACCCAACACATTGTTCTGCTTGAGTATTATTTGGTGATGGTGATAAAAGTAATTCAGAAAATCAGAAACATTGTTTAATAGAGGATACAGTGACCTAGCATTGCATAACTTTAGGAATGACTCTCCTCTGTGCCTTGGAAATCACCTTAATACACTTTTCTTCCAGGAGGTATGTTTCCCAACTAACAGATGAAGGAAGGCAAGGAGACTTTTAAATGCTTCCATTTTCTGTAGCCCTAGTCAAATAGATCTAGGCTAGACACTAAAATACAGTTACGCCATAGTTACCAAACAGCATGGCACTGATATACAAATAGCTACATAGACCAATGGAAAATAATAGAAAATCCAGAAATAAAGCCAAATTCTTACAGCCAACTGATCTTCAACAAAGTAAACAAAAACATAAAGTGGGGAAAGGACACCCTATTCAACAAATGATGCTGGAGTAATTGGCAAGCCACATGTAGAAGAATAAAACTGAATCTTCATCTCTCATCTTATACAAAAATTAACGCAAGATGTATCAAGGACTTAAATCAGACCTGAAACTATAAAAAAAATTCTAGAGGATAACATCAGAAAACCCTTTCTAGACCTTGGCTTAAGCAAAAACTTCATAACCAAGAACCCAAAAGCATATGCAACAAAAACAAAAATAGATTGGACTTAACTAAACTAAAAACCTTCTATACAGCAAAAGATACAACCAGCAGAGTAAATAGACAACCCCTAGAGTTGGAGAAAATCTTCTCAATCTACATATCCGACAAAAGACTAATAACCAGAATCTACAAGGAGCTCAAACAAATCCACAAGAAAAAAACAAACAATCCCATCAAAAAGTGAACTAATAACATGTATAAACGACTATCAAAAGGAGACATACAAATTGCTAACACACATATGAAAAAATACTCAACATCACTAGTTATCAAGGAAATGCAAATCAAAGCCACCATGCAATTCCACCTTACTCCTGCAAGAATGGCCATAATCAAAAACTTAAAAAAAAAAAAATGCGTGTCAGTGTGGATGTGGTGAAAAGGGAACACTTTTATGCTGCTGGTTGGAATGTAAACTAGTACAACCATTATGGAAAACAGTGTGGAGATTCCTTAAAGAACTAAAAAGAGAAGTGCCATTTGATCCAGCAATTCCTCTACTGGGTATCTACTCAGAGGGAAATAAGTCATTACATGAAAAAGATATATGGATACTCATGTTTGTAACAGCACAATTCACAATTGCAAAAATATGGAACAAGCCCAAATGCCCATCAATCAAGTTAATAAATTGTTATATATATATATATATATATATATATAAAACATACATACATATATATATAACAACAGTATTCCATGGTGCATATATATATACATATATCCCATATATATATATATATATATATATATATATATATCGCCATGGAATACTATTCAACAATTCAGCCATAAAGAGGAATGAAATAATGGCATTCACTGCAAGCTGGATGGAATTGGAGATCATTACTGTAAATGAAGTTACTCAGGAATGGAAAAACAAACATCATATGTTTTCACTTATAAGTGATAGCTGAGCTATGAGGATGCAAAGGCATAAAAATTATACAATAGACTTTGGGGACTCTGGAGAAAGGGTGGGAGGGAGGTGAGGGATAAAAGACTACACACTGGGTACAATGTACACTGCTCAGGTGATGGAGACACCAAAATCTCAGAACTCACTGCTAAAGAACTTATTCGTGTAACCAAATACCACCTGTTCCCCAAAAACCTATTGAAATTTTAAAAACTGACTTTTTTTAATTAAAAATTTTAAATATAAAATATATACATGTAGAACATAAAGACATATCAGTTAACAATGGACTGCACATATAATAGTGGTCCGATAAAATTATAATACTGTATTTTTGCTGTACCTTTTCTATGTTTAGATATTATTAAATACACAAATACTTACCATTGTGTTATAGTTGCCTGTAGTATTCAGTATAGTAACATACTGTACAGGTCTGTGGTCTAGGAGCAGTATGCTCTACTGTATAGACTAGGTGTGCAGTAGGATATACCATAGAGATTTGTGTATGCACACTCTGCATTGCTTGCACAATAACAAGATCACTCAGCCACACATTGCTGTGAACATATCCTCACCATTAAGTAACAGATGACTGTAATCACACTGGTTTATTCTAGCCTTGTTTTCCCTTTGTGTATACACCAGGACAGCTAAGAAGAGAGAGGTTTCTTTCAGAAAGCTCTCTGGGAGAATTGACAACAGATTCTGAGTGTGGTTTTATTTATCACACACATCCTTTATGTGGCCTGATGGCTTCCTAGGCTGAGGGAGTGCAATGCGTACTCAACTTCTCAAATACACAAACCAAGCACAATTGGTTTGGGTGCTGCAAAGAGGAAATCACTAACCAGGAAACACCTAAAGGAGGTGTTAGAGGGAGTGGTTCAGGCAGTGACTCATTAACAGATGCTTTGAGTCATTTCTGAATGTGCGAATATGAAGCCTCAATGCTTTTCTCAAGTGAGACTAGGTAACCGCATACTGACTACTTTAGCAGTTGTTTTTTTGGAGCGGTAATTCTTACAAATCCTGTAGGCATATCATGCACTGAATATCCTCATCCATAGAATTCATCAGACTCTGACCTGTAGAAACCTTACAGCTAAATTAGAACCACCTCTTCGTTTTATAGGCGAGATAAATAAGGTCAAGATGAGCAAAATGACTTGCCTAAGATCATAGTCCTCAAAATGGTATCGTAAACCGGAAAGAGCATCAGCACATCACAGCAGAGGTGGGGGTAACTGAAGGATAGTAGTGAGTGGCAGGTGAAGAAATTGGGGGGTGTTGGGGCTAAAATAAATTAATAGACTAGCATTTACCTGGGTGTGAATATCTAAAAACGTGGCCTAGTGCTAGGTCCTTTAAATGATTTTCTCATTTGATCTTACCAAATGATCCCAGGATGTATATATCATTTCTACAAACCAGAAAATGAGGCTAAGAAATGAAGCAAGTTGCCTAGGGTCAAGGAATTAGTGTATAATAAAACAGAAGGTGAAATTTAAGTTTGTCTGATTCCCAAAACAATTTGGGTGTTATGTTTGTCTGGGAAAATATGGTCTGTGAATATCTTATTTTATATGGGTAAATAGGGCCTTGTTATCTCTTTGCACAGGGGAGAAGATTTATAAAATAGATTGGTCCTTCTCACTTTTTTGAAGTCACAGTCTCTCTTAGAGAATCTGATGACCATATCCAAGGAAATGGAATCTGTCTGAACACACATGTTCAATTTTAAGAACCTCCCAAAGCTCATCCAGGAACTCGCTAGAGTTCTACAGACACAAGTTTAAAATTCATAATGATTTTCTTGAGAATGTAAATAAAGTAAATCTGAAGCTAAAAAATTCTCTCCAAATTTTCTAACACTCTGCAGTCTTCTAGTCTTTCTTATTGTAATTGAAATAGTAGCAATTTGCAAAGTGTTCGTGATCTGGACAATTGTTCATTTTAACTACTTTCTCAGCTACTCAATTCCTTCCTCTTTAAAGAAAAAATGAAATGTGTTTGTTTCTTAAAGCTGTAAGAAATATACAATATTAATAATAGTGGCCATATCAATTTTTACAGGAGTGATTTAAGCTGAATTACTGATTTACAGTATCTTTGGGAGGTATGAAATGGAAATTTTATTCATGTATAAATACTATGCATATTGCTATAGTCTAAATGTTTATGTCTCCCAAAATTCAGCGTTGAAACTCTGGCCCCCAAGGTAATGGTATTAGGAGGTGAGACCTTTTGGGACATGATTAGGTCATGAGGATGAAGCCCTCATGAATGAGATTAATGCCTTTATAAAATAGGCCCAAGGGACCTTGTTCACTTTCTCCACAAAGTGAGAACACAGCAAGAAGGCACATTCTATGAACCAGAAAGCCCTCTCCAACACCAAATCTGCCAGAACCTGGATCTTGGATTTCCAAGTCTCCAGAACTGTGAGAGATAAATATCTGCTGCTTAAAAGCTATCCACTTTACGATGTTTTGTTATAAGAGCCTGAATGAACTAAGACTTGTACTAACTGTAGAAACACACAAAGAAGTAGGCATACTCAAGCACTTTTCACATTGCATTTACTTACTCCTTTTCCATTATGTTATGCTTGTGCTTTATATTCTCTGAATCATTGGGAAGAGTACTATTTATATATTTCTTGGAGATATCACATATTGAGGATGTGGTCATCTCTTCTCTTTGGCTTCCTGAGGTCTCTTGAATTTCTCTCTCTGTTGTCTGGATTATGCCATGAATCTCTTCCCTGTTGCCATTTATGTTCTCAACAGTTGTGTGTTCTATTTGTTTTTCATCTTCATTTTCTGCATTATCTGGGAGCATTTTGTTCCGTGACTCTTCTTGCCCCATTACACGTCCGTTGAATGACGTATTGTTTTCTTTTTCCCCTAATGCTGAACTCATGTGTGTTTTATTTTCTTTTAACTGGACCTGGTTTGTGTAATGACTTTCCTCTCCATTTGTAGGAGAAACAGTAGCTGTTTCTATGGCATTTAGTTTCCCTCTTGCAGCAATGTAGGCTGCTTTCGTATCTTGAATGGAGGACATTGTCTGCTGTGGAGTACATTCATCATGCATGCCGCATAAATTACACATCTCCTTTTCTTCTTTCTTTAGAAGTGCAGCAGTGCTCCCCAAATGTTCAGTTATTTTTATGAGGCAGTCTATGAAAGTAATGATTTCTGCACACACATACATAGACACACAAAGAATAAATACAAAACTAAACCAAATTATGTTTCTGCACTGCCATCTAATGAGACATAGCAAGATAATTTTAGAAACCAACAAAGACCTTTACTAGGCATTTAAGCCAACCTCCTGAAGGAGAAGTAATTGTACAACTGTCACTCTTTTAACATTGTCGGGTTGACAACAAAACACTTTGAACATGGTAGCAAAGAGTAAATCTAATCCCTCTTATGAAGATACTTTGAATATTTAAAGACAGATGTCATAACCTCTCACACCCCCAATAAGAACTGAAGTGAACATCTCCCTCAATTGCTTTTCATTTGGTATGATTTTGAGAACTGTTCTTTTGCCACTGGATGTACAACAATTTATCAACGATCCATTTAAAATGCTGGGCCAAAAATTAGGTGAACACTCCAGATGAGGCTTGGGTAGCAGAAACACCATACCTCTGTTATTTCGGCCAATGTAGATGCTATGTTTTGGAGCCTAGTTTACTGCTATGAGAATTGGATTATGTTTATACTATTACTCCTGATTAATTTGTGATCATGATAATTTTCAAATTTGTCCTTCAAAGAATAGTTCTGACCATACCAATTCTCTGATTGGAACTTACAGTGGGCACTCAAAGCCTACTAAATCAAGTCAACCTGTGGAGTAAACTCTCAGCAGAGTCTAATCTGATAAAATCTCTCATTCCATCATCATTCTTCTCACCCTCCTATGTGTTCATCCTGCCTCTCCTCACTACTGAGGTCACGTGGTGACTTCTTGAAGGCTTGGTACCTCTCTAGTCTTTAGAATTTAGTTCTGAACTAAAGAATATGTAATTTAAGGCCCCATAGCTTAGTGTTTTTAAAACAAATCATCCCTTCACTAGTCTGGGCTTTTCTTTGGGATCCAGTTCTGACAACTTGTTTTTTGTTTTGTTTTGTTTTTTGTCTTATACCTGAGAACTTGTCTTTATTTATTTATTTTTTTTTTGGAGACGGAGTTTCACTCTTGCTACCCAGGCTGGAGTACAATGGCGCGATCTCGGCTCACTGCAACCTCCGCCTCCTGGGTTCAGGCAATTCTCCTGCCTCAGCCTCCTGAGTAGCTGGGATTACAGGCACACGCCACCATGCCCAGCTAATTTTTTGTAGTTTTTAGTAGAGATGGGGTTTCACCATGTTGACCAGAATGGTCTCGATCTCTTGACCTCGTGATCCACCCCCCTCGGCCTCCCAAAGTGCTGGGATTACAAGCGTGAGCCACCGCGCCCGGCCTTGTCTTTATTTATTTTTAACTCCTGTTCTGGTAGTCAAGTCCTTGTTTTTCCTGAATATATCTTTGTCCTGTTATGTTGCCAAGGACTACGTTCCGCTCCCTCCAGAGACTAAAGATCTGATTATGGACTCCCGCTGATGGCTTCTCAGTCATGCTGCCTTTGGACAGATTTCCCTGATGTCCACTATTTGCCCTTTAGTACTGAATTTCTTAATATCATCTACCATGGGATTTCCTTATAGATGATTTCCTTATAGATGGAACCTGCCCACTTATCTTGATATGGTATTATTTAGAGTTGGATTTCATGATGCCACCTGTATGCTTATATGAAGTAGTGGTTGTTATCTAGGATTATATTCATCAGATTCCTCATTCTTCCTGCCTTACTGTACTTTTCTGCATCCATAACTGGACCTATTCCCAAGAATCCCTCTCCAGCCCCAGTGTGTGGGGATCCAATTCCCTGTCCCAGCCCCCTCCAATCTTCCAAGTAATTTCACAATTAATAAGTCAAAGCTGAAATGACCCTAGAGGTAGAATATTATATTCTGATATACACATACGCACAAAAAAAACTACTAGCTCTGCCTCAAACTAGGCCTGTATTTTCCTGTCTCTTGATCTTGGGTCCTACTAAAAATATCTAGGCTCCCTATTTCCTGCTGCACAAATCCAATTCATTCTTTAAGCTTCAGCTTAAATGCCACGTTTGGTCTAGCAAACTTCTCAATTCCCCACCCTACAGATGGGATTTGGACTGCTTCTGAAGTCCCAAAGCACTTCATTCATGCGTTTCTAATCGGACTGGCCCCAATGTCTCTGGCATTATTGTGCATTTGTCTCGACTTATTTCCCCTATGACATCGTTAGTCTTTTGTGGACAGAAACTCTATCAGAGCCTGTTGGTATGCTCATAACCCCTCTCAGGTCTTGCCCTAATCAATATTTCTTAAAGAAAGAATAAACAAACAAACAAAATACTTGCCTTGTCTCCAGATAGATTGATTCTCCTTGTCAAGCAGCACACACAGCTGCTGGCAGGTGGAATGCAGGGTGCTTGCCGTGTGCTCCAGCAGCTGGCGGAGGGCCCCGCTGAGCTCCTGACCCAGAAAGACCACAGTGGCCATCCATGTGGACCCACCAGGCCCCTCACAAAGGTCATCACCCAGGAGTGCTTGCTTTAGCATCTGGTTTTGTCTCCAAATCTGCTTCAATATTTGGCCCAATTTACCTGAGCCCATGTATTCCGTATCCATTTTATGATACAAAAGTGTTATGTTCTCTCCTGCCATCAAAGCCTAAAGGTTTTGCAAATTCAAACTTGGCGATGGTTATTTCTCCTAAACTCTAGGAGATGATCCAAGTCAGCTAGCCAAGTACTTTCTCACAACATAATAGTTTATTCAGTTTAGTGTTGACTAGTGAAAAGTTACTAGGTGACCAAGGAAGGGCGTTCCTGTACCATGGATGCTATTGTGTACAGAATAGATTAATCACTGGGGTAGAGCTAACTCACACAATCCAATTCTCCATGTAAGTTTTACAAATTCAATATACTGTGTAAGTCCCAAACACTTTTCAAGTTTTGAGGCAACAAAATATGGATTCCAGGTAGGATAAGAATTTTATTAATCAAAGGTAAACTGTTTGAAAAATATTCCTCCTAGGAGTCCTGAATACTTCAAAATATTTATGGATGAAATAATGTGATGTCTGATTTGCTTCTAAATAATCTGGGAGCATAGGTTTGGGGTAGAGGTATAAAATTTGCTGTAAGAATTAATAAATGTTGAAGCTGGATATGGTTACATATGAGGTCCTGAGAATTCACTTTAATTAATATGTATATGTAGAATAGTTTTATGACCAAGAGTTTAAAAAGACTCCTCTACTGGAGCAGAGTCTATTGCCATTAGGTAAGTATAATTAGCATCTTCTTATATGGCAAATCTGCAGAGACTGAGATAGGAACTTGGCCTGTGATAATTTCCCTCTAATTGGATAAAATGCCCTTCGCTGAAAGAAAGCAAGCCTGAGGAGTAGCTTTCTCTAAACTAGCAATGAGTCTTTACCGTGTGTAATTAAAATTCAGATACAACAAGCTCTCCCCACTGCTGCCCATCTGCCAGCCAGCACATTGTATACGGGCTATGCAATACAGCACTTGGGGGTATTTGGAGGAAACCAGAACAGTCTGCTTCCCTCCAATCCCACCAGTCAAGGAAGGGAGAACACATATCCACACCAAAGGGGAGAGGACAGTGAGGACATTCCAGAGAGGCTCATGTTCCCTCAGGGGCACTGGAACGAAATGAAAGTGTTTCAAAGGGAAGCCGACAGCTTCCCTCCGACAAGCAGCACTTTATCTCATCTTATGCACTGGAGTTCTAAAAGCTACACTCAGGGCACCTGGAAGACAAGATGGGACAAACAAGCCCAGAGAATAAATAATGATGAATGACTGCCACTGCCCTAAAGACTTCCAAAGACTTCGAAGGGAAAGGAAAAGAGCAGTATTGAGTACTGGTGGCTGCAGAGTGGAGAGGGGTTCCTTCTCTCCTAAGTGTCTTATTTTTCAGTTAACTTCTATTCGCTGAAAAAAAGGACCTTTTTTTTGCAACATGACTTCATATTACTTCATGGATTGCATTATTTAAATCTTCTCAAACTAAAGACTTTCTCATTCAATTCTATTTTGTTTCTCTTACACCTTAAATAGATGTGTCATTCCCAATAATAACGTACACATGGCTTTAATTCCATGCCAGTTTAGAAAACTTCCTATAGCATTTACTGTGGGACAGGAACTAAGTGCTGGAGGTCGGGCCTTTTTAGGACTTCAAGAGACAGATGTGTGAACAGATTATTAACATAAAGCTCAGACTGTGTTGACAGCTAGAGCAGAAGTATAAAGAAAAAGTATCATAATAGCTTTAAGGAGTAAAAAATGTAATTCTGCTTAGAGGCCTGGCAGATGTTTGAATTAGAAACTAAAGGACAAGCAGGCTAGAGCGTAAAAGAAAAAAGACATTCCAGCATAGGAAAATATGATCAAAGTCATGGAGGCATGAAATTACACAGTAGGATCAAAAATGAAAAAGTATAGCTTTGGAGGAAGGTTCAGTTCATGAGTCAGGAGAAGTGGCAAATGAAGAGTTCAGTAATTGTGGAGAGTGAGAAGAAATTAGAATGTTGGTTTACAGATAAAAGAGAGAAATGGAATATTTTTGAATCAGGTTGCAATGTGATAAAATCTGTGCTGCAGGGATGCAGCTCCTTTAGATGGCAGAGACTGAAGAGTTAGAAGGCCTGAAGGTCTGTACTAAAACAGCTACAGAACAGACGAGAGAAGGGCATGCCATGAGAGGGGATTTGTAGTGGATAGAACTTACTAAACTTACCAAACCATCAGATTATAGGGAAAGGAATAGAAAGCATTGAAAATGCATCCATTTATTTAATTGAGAAATATTTGTTGACCACTGGTATAAGAACTATTCTTAGTATTAGAATAAGACTAAAATTTTAAATTTAGATGATTACATAGACAGTAAGCCTATTGAGGGATGGATTTAAGGAGGGCATTAGGCTTGATGGGTAGATAATTTGTTTGCTGAGTTTGAGGTAACTCAGAGAAATTCCTTAGAATGTGTTTAAAGTTAAAAATTTAGAATAATATTGGCATATTTGAATGTCATCAGTAAATAAGTGGTAAATGAATCCCTGGAAGCAGAAGAGCTCAATGGAGAATTTACCAAGCACATTTTAAGTACTGAATAAAGCTGATAATGAAATAATGCTGGATCACTTGACTAATCTACATTTATTTCTACATACGTGGGAAAATTATTTCTCAGGGAGAAAAAACAAACCCAAACATTCTCCTCCATTTCATTCACATTTGCTCTCCTCAAGTTTAAACTTGTTCTCTGTTTGGCTTCTTAAGAACATGTAATATTTGTAAAGTGAGACCTACCACAGGCCACGCCGCATTTACTTGTTAAAACATGCATCTGCATGTTCCTGCACCTTGTTTTCCATTAATTGATGTCACTAACCACAGAAAGAACAGACAATCGCAGTCAAGACACCCACAAAAGTTAACTGCAGAAATTCATCTGGGGTCAGCTGGAGGGAAATAGGGGAGGAATGCTGGGGGGTGGGGAGCTGGGGAGAGATAGCAAGGGGAGAGATGCCAGATGTAGGTGATGGGGAGGAAGGCAGCAAATCACACTGCCACGTGTGTACCTATGCAACAATCTTGCATGTTCTTCACATGTACCCCAAAACCTAAAATGCAATAAAATAAATAAATGGGAAAAAAAAGAAAAAAAGAAGAAATTCATCTGGATGGTTTTAACATTTGATTCACATCTTCATTGTTGCTACAAGTTATTATGACCCCTTTTACTTTCTTATTGAGAATTCGGTGCTTCCATTGATGTTAGTATGCAGTCTTGAATTCATACCATTATGTGGTCAAGAAGACAACAGTTTTTCTTAACATTAAAAGTATCTAAGTGGATTGGAGATAAAATTCAAATAGTAGGATAGTTCCCTGTTTACTACCTAAAGAAATAAAAATATGCAATAGATTGGACAGGCTACAATGCCAAACAGGATGTGAAGACCATGACCGTAAAGTTTTGAAGTGTAACCAAGAGGGCTATTTTTCATGGCATTTATACTGGGTAGTGGTGGGTAGGCCAGATGTAAGCAAAAGAGTTATGTATGCCTGAAGTATTATGAGTCAATGTTATTAGTTCTGTCGTGATTTTATTTTCATTGAATTTCTGTAGTTGCCTAAGTCAGAGACTTTGGCACATATAGTCCAGAATAATTTTCCCCTTTTGAAAATTCATATTGAAGGTCTAGTCATCTTTTGTCTGTTTAAGATAACCTCATACATTTAGATGACGAGTGGAAGAAGAAGGAAAAGAAATTGTTTTCTTTAGTAACTTATTGCAATAGAAAAGTATAAATTATACATTCGAATTTTTAATATGCTTATCAATTTAAAAATATTTCAAAGAGCAAGTGGTCAGAATCAAAGCTAGCACTTCTGATTAAACAAAGTAGATTAGATATATGTTCCATCTGTGATTTCTACTGAAAAGGATAACATAGGGAGGCCGAGGTGGGCAGATCATGAGGTCAGGAGATCGAGACCATCTTGGCTAACACGGTGAAACCATGAGAGGCAGAGGTTGCAGTGAGTTAAGATTGCACCACTGCACTCCAGCCTGGACAACAGAGTGAGACTTTGTCTGAAAAAAAAGGGATAAAAGGGTAAAACAATATATAAATCCCAAAAGACAAAGAGAATGCATGATAAGATGATAGACAAAAGATGTCAACAAACTTCTGGAAGGCTAAAAGCAGATGGACAAGTAGCAAATAATCGAATAGAGCTGAAACCTAAGCACTCAGACAGTGGAAAATAGGTGAGTTCTTGCCACAGAATCTCAGAAATTCCCAGAATTAGAGACACTTAGGACCTCTGAAAGTAAAAGTAAACTTAGGGTTGTAAACAAATGTTTTTGTTGAAACTCTGTTTGGAGCGCAGGTAGATTCCTAGATTCCTCTCTTCTGCCCCAAAGAGCCAGGCAACAATCTTACTCCCACCCATCAGAAGCTAGAGACTTTCTCTGAATAAATGGTAGCAGCAAAGCTGAGCAGGACAGAGAACTGGAGGGGTGCCATGCTGACCATGAGAATTAAGTGAATTTCTACAAGGTTAAATTATGAGGTGCTACTCTATTTTTCTGCTCAACTCCAAGAACATGGGCTGGGAAGCATAACCTCCCAGGCAGAAAATGAGAAGTTTCCTCTGTGGAGTAACTGAACACTCCATCAGAAAACCTACTGATAGTGAAGCTTTCAGTGCCCCTCTCCCTATTTCCTACCTCCAAAGCCTGCTCTGCCCCCGCCAGATCATCCACAGTGAAGCTCTGCATCATATAAAGCTTCCAAACTAGCTCTTCAGGCCTCACTTTAAGTGGAATAAGAACCAAGCAAGCTGGGATTTGAAAAAGCCTCTAATATAAAGCCAGAGAATAAAGTAAACAAACGCAAATAAAGAACTTGGACAAAAAACAGAACAAATACAGGGAAGAGAAAATATCAGATGAATCTATAATTAGCATGTTCAGAGTCTAGGATAAGAAAAAATAATGCACTCATAAGACAAGAAAATATTTTCTTTCAGAAGGCAGCAATGAGAAAGGACTCACTGAAATTAAATTATGATAATAGAATTGTCTTAATACGGGAAAGAAAAAGCAGTTGAATAAATTCCCCAAAACACCAAACAAAAGACAAAGAGATGGACAATTGGGATAAAACGGAGGTTAAGAAAATTAAAGGTTAAATTCAAGTGGTCCCACTAATATGAGTTCCGGAAAGAGATTACAGAATGAATGTAATTATCAAAAAAAAAGGAAATATTTCTCAGAATTAAAGCATGTGATATTCCAGACAGAAAGAGCCCAGAACAATATATGCAAAAAATAATCATAACCAGTCATATCAAATTAACACCAAGGACAAACATTCCAATTGCCTCCCAAGAGGGGAAAATGTGTCACATTTATATCAAAAGGCATTGAATTTCTCAACAGCAACACTAAAACCTAGCAATTAATAAACTGTGATTTCACTATTCTGAGGGAAACCTCTTTCCAATTCAGGATTCCGTTTCTGCCAAAGGATCATTCAAGTGTGCAGAGAAAGAAAGGGCATGTTCAGGTATGCAAATGTCAAACAATTTATCTCCTGTGTACCCATTTTTGGGAAGCTACTCACAGATGAAATCGATCACAAGCAACAGAATGACACAAGAAAAAAGAAGATTCTGGAGTCAGGAAATGGAAAATGCAGCAAAAGAGAGAGAGCTAAATCAAGTGCTTTAAGTGAAGTCCCAGGGCGACAGCAATGCTGTGGCCCTAGAAAGCTCCCATTCTAGACTGCAGCCGTCATCTGAGTGGTTCAGAAGTCTGTCCACAAGCAGAAAAAAAAATGGAACTGAAAAATTATCTGATGTTTTAAACATTTTAAGAGAAGATTTACAATTCTATTAGAGACTTGAGGAAAAGAATTATTGATAATTTAGCAGCAGAAATAAAAGAGAAATATTAAAATCTGGAAAAACTAAATTTGGAAGAAAAGAATATGTAATTATAGTGTATTATATAGTTCTGTTATGAATAATATTTACATAGCTACAATAATAAATATGTCTATAATTACTTTAAAATAAAATTTG